CCATCTCAGTCGGTGATCATAGTCCGAAAATAAACATTTAACAACCGATCAATATTCAGATAATATGAATCGGAGCCAAACTTTAAGCGTGCCGCTGAATCAATATACCATATCTTTCAAATCGATTGATAATTCCCAGACATTTCGATGGGTAGGGCTATGGGCCTGGAAGTGTTCCTTGTCACTATCTGCACGATTATGTTGCTCAGAGGTCGGTGAACTCATCGCCTGTTTACTCATCTATTTGGCCACACTCTTGTTCTTGTAAGTTTCCATAAATTATCAGAATAAATAAATATGTGGTTTCTGCATTTCATAGTTTTCTAGGACACAAGCGAATGAACTTTTCGGGAACAATAACAACACCAGGGAAAATAACACATTACTCTTTATTTGCCTCCAGCAGACAGACCAGAATATTTCAAAATATTTGCATGCTCCACATACGGAATCTATACGGATATATGGGGGTGGGAATTGATGGGGAATTCCATGCCAAATTTAGGTTTTTTTCGAAATGGAGGGATGCCTGAACATGCTCGCCGAATTTTGTGTGTTTAAGTGCGGCCATATTCATTACAAACATCTGTCAAGTAATGGGAATTTCTGCAGGAATTTAAAGGCCCAGCAGTGCACCATTTTTAAAATATAGAGAAAGAACTTAAGGTTGGATTGTAAGTACGAAATAACGTTATATTGAAACTTTATTTAGACTATAGCCATTGGTGGGCACACGATCTATATCATTAACATGCAAGCGATATAAATGTAATATCATTTTATAAAAATCATTAGATAGTTTTAGATTACTCGGAAACTGCTATGAGGAACAATGTCTAGGGGCATTAAACAAAATGTTCTTAAATTTTTGGTTCGGCCAAGAAGTATGATTTTAAGTTATTTGAAACTTTTGATCGCTATTTGGATGTCTATTAAAGTAAAGGTAATTCTCAGAGATAGTTTCTAAATTTGACTTTTTCGTCATTTCCAAGATATTTAATATTTTATGGTTATTTAAGAAAATTAATTATAATGATATTATGCATAAATGTTAATTTCATAATCTTTCCAGCGATGCTATGCTGTTTATATAGCTGTTTATAAACCGATGGAACATTTATAAACCGATGGAACATTCTTATTGTTAAAAAGGCAGGCTTTGAAAAGTTACGATTACAAACTGAAAATAATTCTTGCACAATTATTGAGGTCAATTTTTAGATGTATTGATATACATAAGTTCAAAAATATTTCATTTTTTCAGTCAAGTGCTAAAAACATTCATAGTTTATCAGTTCTCTCTATCGAGCTAGAAAGTTATTCATTTTTTCTGAGCCTGTTATCAACAGATGCCTTTATAAAAATAAACATTTCTAGCACCTTGTTATAAAGTTTTGTTATGGTATGAATAAAAATAAATAATTCCTTTGTAGTTAAAGATTTTCTAATAACTTCACTTTAGTTGATCATGAAGCTGGTACTATTCTATTTATAAGCTATCGCCTGTGCTTAATCGAAGAAGTTAACGGCCGGCCGAAAAGGAAGTCAAAAGTTCGGCGACTTTTCTACGTCGGGCAATTAATACGGCATTTACATGAGCGATAGAAGCCGTAATCGTGGAAATTCACGCAATAATTGTCAAACAAAGAATTTCCCTCTTTCTCTCGTTCGCTTTTATGGCTCCAAAACTTTGACTGCATAAATAATAATTTCAGTTTGTTTGAAAAGAGAAATAGAAATTGGGGGGAAGTGGAAAAAGCCATAGAAAGTATTGCCCATTGTTTGTTGTGGTGTTTTTTCTTTTTTTGATGTTGTAATGTGCGTGGCTTGAGCAGCGCTGCAGGCGTTGCAGTCGCCGTCGACGCACGCTCCCGCATAACAGTCAACGAACGCGCCGCTCTCACGCACTCTCTCCCACTCTCCCACTCCTGCTCTCTCTCTCCCCCATTTCATTTGCTCTATCAGAAAGTGCGTAAGTGTGCGTGCGTGCGAGTTGAATGACCGCCGAAAATAATTTTTTCCTCGATTTTAGACTTTTACTATGTTGACGCTGGTGATGATGATTGTGGATGTGTGGATGTATGATTGTGTGTGCTTTGGCGCTTCTCGCACAGACACACAGAAACGAACTACTCATGTCCAGGGGCGTTTGCAGTGGGGTTTTGGGGGCAGAAATGTAGATTTTATTTTTCATTTTAGCGAATAATGTGTAAAATATGGCATACAATCTTGAGAAATTACAAAGAACCTGTTTTAATATAGTTTTAAAAACGTTTTTAGTTGAAATATACGTGGTAAATCAAATATTAATATAGAAATACTATTTTAACACATTTTGCAATTGGTAATCATTTTTTTAACTAATTAAAAATTTAATATTCATTTATTTAATTTTTAGGTAATTAATTGAAAAACAGAGAGAGAGAACATATAAACACCCTTCTACGCCACTGTCCACACGCACACTTTCTCAGGCCGTCAGAAATTTTGTAGCTTCATAGTTTTTGGTCTTTCGTTTGTTTCGAGTGTTAAACGGGCGTTCGCACTATCTCGCAGGGGCGTTGGGGGGAGAGGGGGCGTGGCCGGTTTGGGCTTGGGCCTGCATGGGTCGCTTTTTCCACACATTTCTTTTTGTTTTATTTCGTACGCATGTGTTTGTGAGCGGACTACACAATCAGCTAAAGCAACAGCAGCATTTCACTTTAACAAAACTTTTTCGGTCTGACTTTTTTGAATATTTTTTATTGTTGCCACTTCTCTGTCTCGCTCTTTCTCCTTCCAAGGGCCACTGTTGTCAACTCTTTCGCTTTTTAAATTTCGTTTTTGGCCGCTTTCTGTTTACGCCGCAAAATTTCTTTCTTTCACTTTGCCTACGTTTCTATCTGTTTCACCAAAGGAAAGGCGAAAAAACAACAGCAAAACGCAGTAGCAGAAGCGAAAAAGTGAAAATTTCAATAATAAAATAAAAGTTGATTTTGCGGAAGTCATAAAGGCAAATTGCACGCCAAAATTAACAGTGACCAGAGTAAAAAAAAGACGACCCCCCCGCCACCCATGCAGCTCCGATAATTACTTACACGCAACTTTGGAAACTCGGGGATAGATTGCTGCCCGCGATTAAGATTTATGTTAGAAATAATATCCTCCATGTCCTCGACTAAAACCTTAATTGCATACGCAGCTGACCCGCTAAGGGGTCAAAGCACCCCAATTAAATACGTATTAATTTAGTGCTTCTCCCTAAACCTTAGGTCCTATTGAAAAGTGAATCATGGATGTCTGAAATTTCGTAATGTACCTACTGAAGTTGCTGTTACTTAATAATTATAATGACTTACTTAAAAGTTTTAAGTTATTCTTTGTAAATTATAAGTTTTATAATAAGTGTGTATCTCAGTATTAGAAAACAAATTTCACTGTCTATTGATGATAGAACATTTTCTTTAAAGCATACTAATCGGTTGCTTTGAAATCCCCTGCGTGTACTTGATTTTGAAACGGTTTCTGTTACACCGAGATTTGCGCTTGGGAGGATATTTTTGTGATACCCTGTTTTTGGGTATAGAAGCGTATTATTCTAAATAAATGAGTTCCGCTTTTCGTAAGATCACAATAGACCATTTAAATGTAAGTTTATAGATATCGATCCTGTAAAAATCTTGTATTTACATTTAATATTTTAGATACCAAAGTTTCTTTTTTCCGCCAAATTAAAAGTTCCAAAAATACAATTAAGTCGATTGTGAAGAGCAAAAAAAATCCAATCTGCCCAATAACTGTAAAATACAATGAAATAAGCTAATTAACTAATACCCACAAACCAAACGCATACTCGCAAACGTGCAATTCATACATCGTCATTCACATAGTAAAATATTTATTTATAAGGCTTGTTGAAACTTTGTTGGCATTACAATATCGCGTATATATATGTATGTTTTTATGACTGGCCCGCGAATTTTAATTCGCAAGTTTCTTTTCCATTTCATTTTATTATGATCTCCTGCTGTACGCTTTTTATGACGGCTCTGTTACATATACAAATTGTATCTTTGGCAGCAGCGAAGAAAGGGTTGCAGCGGTCTCTTTCCTGTTCTCTGATTGCCTTTTCGAATTAGTTGAATTGTCAATGCAAAATGGCAAAAAACCACTCGCACACAAACGCAAACACACGCAAGTGGGTTTCGTAATATTCATTTGGCTGTCTTTCTTCATTTACGAATTTCATGGATTTCCCTTAAATAATTTTTGTTGCCGTTGGTTGAGAAACCCAAGTGACTTTCACTGCCAAGCCAACGAAAATACAAAAATACCGAAAAAGAGCAGCAACTCATTTCGGGACCAACTGACTGACTGACTGAGTGACTCCGCTCTGCCACATAAAACCAGCAACTTAACTGGATTTCATTAAATTTATACTTTACTTTGCTGTTTTGTGCAATTCTCTTGTTACTTTTAGCGGGATGAAAGTTCACACTTGTCGCTTACTTCACTTGATGTCTTTGGAATATCTGAATAAAAGTCAGCGCATTTTAAAAGGACTCAAAACTTGTTAAAACACTTGAGGAAATACTTTACATAATTTTTCTGAAAGCCAAACTTACATTTATCATAAAATTTAGCCTATCATTGGGATTAAGACAGTTTTAAAATTGCATAACATTACATATTACCTGACAAACTATGCCCCACAAAAAAGGCTAATCACGAATATATTTTATTCAATCAGAACGAGTTTAAGTCAGTAAAAATTAAATTCAAAGGTAAAAGTCCTTGAGCTTTCAATTTACTGAAGTTTGGTTTAAGCTAAGCCCGTTTTATTCAATTTCATTAATCGTTAAATTATTAAACTTATTTTTTATGCCATTCTATTTTGTTATGCTATAAGTTTATTATTATCGAACATCTGTGATATTTTCTTCGATACATTTCTTCACAGGATATTTTCAACTCTTACTCGTGAGTAAGGACCTTATTACGGTTAAAAAAATTTGTTTTACCTTTGATAGAACCGCTGGAGTTGTTTTGTCCCGCTGGTGATTGGACGTTGCTTTGACCGAGGTTGTTTGCGTGTGCTTCCAGTTTCGAAGTGACGCTGCTCCACATGTCAAACATACGTTGCGTATACATAATTATTAATGGGAAATGCGAAGCTTTGGTGACGTTTGTAACGCTTGCTGTTGTTGTTGCCGCTGCAGTTGATTGGTGAAATAGTTATAGTTATAGTTATTGTTATGTACACTTGGTATCAATTGTTGCAACCGCTGATGAACACGGGCACTCACACAGACTGCCATACGCGGCGTATGCGCAATCCGGCTGCTCTTTGCAGTTGAATGAATTCGATATTCGCTTGGGTTTTTAGTTGTATTTTTTGGGGTTTTTGTAAATATGTAAAACGTTGTATACAATATTTAATATATAGATATATATGCTTTAAATAGCTGCCCTTCGGATCCAATTGTATTAGCCAATCGTCTTATTGCACTTGGTCTCTACTTGTGTTTTGCGGCTTGTGTTTAAGCTTGTCCGTAGATGCTTTTATGAATGAATTTTCAGCGCTTTTCGCATTCAGTGTGAATCAAGAACTATCACAGTGTGTGTGGGTGTTTTGTGAGACGGGGCGGGGGCGGTGTGAGGGGGCTTGCCAATCGATATATATGTATATATATTTGTATTCTTGTATATTGCTATATATCTATATGTATGTATATAATGATCTAACGTTGTCAGGCCTGTAGGTACTAAATTGTTGATGTTGTTTGGATCTGATGTTATATGTGGTTGCTGCCGCTTAATTATTTGCTTATTTGTTTATTTCTTTATTGGTTTGGGTTTTGTTTTTGTTTATCAAACTATCTGTTAATAAGACACTTGTTCGCGTATGTATTAAACGTGTTTAGTTATCTATCGTTATCGTTATTTAAAGCAATTCTCTATGATTTGATAATATAAATTTGAATCGAACGTCCAACTTTAACCCTTTTGCAGTATGTGCAGATTGTTGCTGTTGCTGCTATTGTTATTGCTATTGTAGTTTTTGTTTTTGGTTGCTTTGGGCAGTTGTTGCTGTTGCTGCTGCGGCTGCTTTTGTTGTTGCTGCTGCTGCTTTATCACTTTCACTGCGTTGTTGTTGCTGCTCCTACGGTTACTGTGATTTTTATTGTGTTGCTTGTTGCTGTTGTTGTTGCTGCTGCTGCTGCTGGTTTCTTTGTTGTTGCTGTTGCTGCTGCTGTTGTTGTTGCTATGCTCATTGTTTTGTCGATTTCTCTGTTTTGCTTGATTCCAAATCAAAATTTCCAAAAATACGAAAATTTCACGACAATTAATTCCGGAAGACATTTAGGCGCAATCTGTTTCTCATCGATTCGAGCTGTCGCTGCCTTGGAAACGTTCATCTGTTTTTCAATAAATGATTTATTCAGGCCCTTAGCTTGAACACTTTGATGTACAAAATGGTTTGGCCAGTTATGTAAATACTTTTGCTACGCACTGTCAGCCATGGCCAAATCATGGCATTCAGCATATTGCACGGAAATGATGTCTGCAAGGGGAATATCGATAAATAAAATCGCACGATCTTCGATTGGTCGATAACCAAAGATCATTCAATGAAAGCCCGAGGGTGTGTGTGTGGCTTTTTCATATACTTTCCAGTTCTTCAACTTTCAATTATTAGAATTCAGGAGTAACCAAAGTTTAGTTCAAGATAAGCCCGACATCTCTTAAGATTTATACAAAAATGGGTAAAAAATAAACGAGGATCCCCAAAACCTAATAAATTGATTCTTAAAACGTAGTTTGAATATGAAACCTTATATAAAACGTTCTTGTTAGCATCTTTGTTTTTTCTAATCCTTGTTTTGATCAAAAAAATGTATTTTCTTTTGCCCTCGTCGCAATATGGAAAATCAAAAAGCCAAATCCTTAAATAGTTTATTGAAAATGAAAATCCTACTTCCGAAAATATTTCCATTAACTCCATTTCTGAGGTCGCCTTGTTAAATGGGAAATGTTGTGTTTACTTAGGCCAACAGATAGAGCAAATTATCACATAATTGAAAACACATACTTTTCCCGTGCAGGCATCGCAATTCAGGAACTGTGCCGAGCCCCAAACCACTAAGTAAAAACCCCTAGCTCTCCCTTTTTTCGGTTGGCAACTCCCTTCGGCCGCTGATGACTATGTATATGGACATGAACATGGAAAATCGATATAGAAATGGGATTTAAGGGTGCCCAGACAGACGGTGGGGTTTTCGGGAGGTGGTGGGGGTGCTGGTGGGGAAAAACTATGAAATGCAGCGCATAAATCTCGTCGCCAAGCATAGTGGGTGTGTTCGTGTGTTAGTGTGGGTAAACATAGAAAAAAGTTCTATGACCCAAAGCTCAAAACACACACACACACACAGGCAGAGTGGAAAAACGAGCGACAAACGAGCCGGCAAACCCAATGAATATAAAAACATTTTTACTTTTCTCTCTCTCTTCTTTTTTGGAGGGGACAGGGGGAGTGTAATCACTTTGTTGGTGGTTTGGGGGTGGCTTTTGGGTGGCCATGCGGAAGCCTCTGGCAGACATATAAAATACGTCACCAAAGCGACAGCAACAACACTGAAATTGTGCCAGCTCAGAAACAGAGGGAGAGGGAGATAGAGCGAGAGAGAGAGCGAGCGAGAAATTTACATATAGACAAAACGCAAAGAAAACGCTGAAAAGAAAATGAAAATGAATAGCCCCACCACAGTGGAAATGAAAAATTCTCTCGCAGCGACAACGAACTTACTAACGGTACTAAAGCTAACGAGCCGGTCAAGCCGATGATGGAGCAGGGCGAAAGAGAAAGAACGAGAGAGCGAGAGCGGGGAGGTGGGCGGCTGAAGCCGAAGGCGGTTACAGTTACAACAGCAACAGAGCGACAGCAAAGCAGACGACAAAGTTTACAAGGCAGCGCTGCCGGCGTCGCAGCTGCAGCGCTGCTCGGGCTGTTGCTGTTGTGTTGTTGTTGCTGTTGCTGTTGCTGCTGCCGTCGCAGTACGTTGACGCCGACGAAAAAGACCAATGACCTATGGGTGGGCCGTGCCGCTGCCCCCACTTTTCCGCCTGGGACTTCTGCTTAGGCTGTTTTCCGCTTCTACACGGCCAGAAAGGCAATACGAACTGCTCATTAGATCGGTAATCTCTTCAAATCCCGTTGCCCTACCAAAATCCTACAGCTAAGATCTCTAAACCTAATATCTTTTCTTTTAAGAACCTAGGGTTCACGGATAGGTACTATTTTAATTTTATAATATTTATTATTTATCATTATGCAGTTCTAGCAACAATTTATATTTCTTTCATATTTTTCAATTATAAAATTATTTGAAAAATAATAATAGGTAATAATATAAATTGGGACAATTCGCAGAGTAATTAGATTAAAAGTGAAGGTAAAAAATCTGTTCTTAAGGATAAAGAATAAGTACTGAAATTTCCGAAATGTATCTCCAAGTACGAAGCTAACAGATTATTTTGCTGCGTGTATCCAGAGTCGATGTTGTTGCCGGGGTGGCACACTTATGGGGCGACACATGGAGTGTGCGAGTGTGTGTGCTTAGCAATGTTGTTCCACTAACGGTAATGCAAACAGTCGACTGAAAAGGCAGGAGAAGCAGCAGAAAAGGAGGCGCAGAGTGGGTGGTGCTGGCGACGACCGACTTTGCTCTGCTCTGAACTCGCCTGAACTGAAAAGTCGGTGCAAGCACTCGTACTGCCGCCTCTAAACTGCTTCTAACGACAACAATAACAATTGTTGATAATCATAAGTTGCCACAATGGACACAGACAGAAAACTGCAGCGGCAACAAAGGGGCCAGAAGCTGTGGACAAGAAAAGGGCATAGCATCTCGTGCTTTGTGCCCAGAGTTTCGGGCTCCTAAGATCTCCACGGAGGATGGTGAAGAACGGCAAAGACAATGGACCCAGAAGCCCCGAGTAACAGATACTGGGAACCCTATGAAAAATTGCGAAAAGCTTTCAACTGACAGTTGGCCGCAGTTGCTCGAAAAGGGGTTGTTAATTGGGGGAAACTATTTCCCATATGGGAGGCCAAAAAGCTGGCCAAAGGGGATACAGCCGTTGTTGGGATCACAAAAGTAAAATCTGTGAGTCCTATTTCAGCAGTTCGGATTTTAGAGAAAATTTAGGTGACAAAGAACATTGGCTTCTCGAGATCTTGAATTTGAAAAGTATCGGAAAGATAATTTGCATTGTAACTGAAGTATTCAAGTTATTATTTCATTAGATCTTGAGCTTTGAGCCAGAAATCTTTCATCGTCAGATCAGATAGGATTATCTTTTCAACTATATTTTAGATTGTTCAGTCTGTAGAACCGAAAAGCTTAAAACAATAGTTTTAAAAATATCTTTTTGTAAAATGAAAACTACAACAAATATTTAAAAGGTACAAATTTGTCAGACTTTAAATACCTAGAAAGTATCGAACTATTCAATTAAATTTCATCGCCTTGCATTTAGTTACTTAAGTATTAGGCACGTGTGCTTAATAAGCCCCCAAGTGGCAGAACCTACATATACAGGTGCCTATAAAACAAACAAGCCTAAACGATGTCATAAATTTCCTTTTCCCAATCATTAAATCCCCGATCGTGTGATATATCCGAAAACTGGTGGTTAGCTATCCAATTAGAGGCAAATAGATTATTCCAATAAATTATCCAATTTGCAGGCGAAGAAGGCTGCTTTCGCCGTGTTGCGATGAGGGATTTTCCTGATGAATTACAATTTCTTTTTTTTTTTAATAATATTTTTACATCCTTTTGGCACACACACACACACTCTTGGGAACATTGATCTTACACATACACGGAAATTGGCTTTGTTTTTGTTGCACAATCTTGAGGGAGAGGTTGTGGGAGGGATTCTCCTGGGTGTTGTTTTTTTGTTTAGGGAGTATTACGTCACTGGCACTTCCGTTTCCGTTTGGTTTATTGGGAGAGAGGGCGCGCAATTGCAGTTGCAGTTTTAGGCACGATGTGGATTTTGAATGCACACGATATTGATTGATTGACTGGTACTGTATATATAGCGTATCCTATGATTTTGTTTTGATCTGAAACCGAACAAACTTCATCTGCCGCCGCATGTTGCAAGGCAATAATTTATATATCTTTTATTATTATTTTCGAACACACTGTGGCACACACACTCGCGTTTCGAAGTTTTGCCTTTTAAGTAATTCTCATTTTTTCGGGGGGTTTTTCTCGGCAGAGTGGTGGTTGAGGGGGGGTGGTGAGGCGTTTTGGGGGATTTGGGGGGCAAAACGCATAGGCACACGCACACACACACACGCGCGCACACACACGAGCGATGCGATGGGAAATAAAACGGTACAGAGTATAAACAACAACAACAAATAATTAATAATAAAGATACAACGCGCCACGCATCGTAACCCGCCGCCGCGAAACGCTCAATACGAGGTGTAGCTGAAGAGTGCCGCAAAATGTTATCGACTGTTCGTTGTCGTTGTGCGGCGGCAGCGACGCGGGCAGCGCAGTGGCAGCGCCGCAATGCGGCAGCAGAGCTCCCCAAAAGAGCGGGACGGAGATGGCGAGAGAGCGCAAGAGAGAGAAGTGGGTATATGTGTCTCTGTGCCGATGACTTCTTCAGTTCGCTGCCCCAGCCCGCCAGCCCCCCCTCCCCGCTGTCCCCCACCCACTTTTGCCTCGTCCGCTTTGTGCCGTTCGTTCGCTATGGCAACCGCTCGCCAGAGAAAGAGTCACAATCAGCTGTTATCGCGGGGGCTCTCTCTCTCCCGTTTCGTTCTCTTCCTACGCTTTGGAGTTTCTCTTTTTGGGTGGAAAAGAGAGAGAGAAGAGAGCGGAGCGGGAGCTTTTGGCGCTTCCTTCAATTAGCAGGTCAATTGCTTTTTAGGCCAAAATGTGTGCACTGCAGTTGCAATTTAATTGCACTTCTTACTTTTCAACAAGCGACTGGGCCAATTGTCTCAAATGCTTTTTCGGGGCGGAAGTGGAAATTGGCCCTAAATTATACCGCTCGAGTCCTGTCAACAAGCTTTTAATGATTGAATTTGCCTTTTGACTCTTTAAAAGCCCTCCCAAATTATATCAATATGATTTAGGGTGACTTGGTGCGTTTTGAGTCCTGTGAAATACTCAGTCGGAATTCTTTGCAAATTTAAGGAGAGGACCACATTTATGATAAAGAATAAAGTGCGCCATGAGGTAGGCAACACTTTGTACCATTTAACAGTAGTGGGTATCTTATAGTCGGGCATTGACTTTTAAAACTATATTCAGTCAACAGTTTTAAAATATTAGGTACTTAAATCTAGTTTATTTTATCCTAGGTTTAAATAAAATATTAAAAATAAATCCTTTTCCAGTTTAACTAAATGCATTGCAGTACGACATTGTAGTGGGTATCTTATAGTCGGGCATTGACTTTCAAAACTCTATTCAGTCAATAGTTTTAAAATATTAGATACTTATATCTAATTTATTTTATCCAAGGTTTAAATAAAATATTAAAAATAAACCCATTTCCAGACTAACTTAGTGCATTGCAGTACGACATTTTTAAAAAATTTAAATTGCTATTACGTTTGCTTTCTTTTTATTAAACTATTGTATAAGATCCCGAGTTCTTGAATAATGCAGACACAAAAAATTGGGTTAGGTCCCAAAATAGATGAATTTGTATGCATATATTGTTATTAATTTTATAAATATTCAAACCATTACGTTTGCAACAAAAATGCAAAAAGCCAAAAAAATCACCGAACATTCAAGGTGAACTGCACACGGAGTTTGCTGGCCAATTAAAAATGTTAAAATTAGTTTAAATCATTTGGCAATTTGCTTTCGAAGTTTGCCAAAATGAAAAGCAAGCCAAAAAATCAAAATAAAAAAGTAAGTTTCCATGTAAATGTTGAAAACGAAAAAGAAACAAACTTCGCTCAAGTTATAAATTAATATTTCGCTTACGTTAATTTATGTATTTTCGTTGACGTCCGATACTAAAGCCATTAACTTTGCATCTCGCAAATACGAAGATACATGTGTGCGGAGCATAATTCGGATTTTGCATAGACGAGAAAGAGATGAGATGGTTGCGCAACCTGGCAGGCAATATCGTTGAAGTTTGGCAAAATCGAAAATATGATAATGAAACTTCGCCACGCTCGATTGGAGACGAAATCTCATGCGGCGCTGACCTGGCTAATAGCCGCGGATCCAGGTCCAGACGACCGAGCGGCCAATAAGCAGAAGATTCATGCATGAAATGCAAAGCGTTGTCCAACCAAATTATAATGAACCTGGCTTGGCTCCGATTCATATGGGAAATTACAACAATAAGCCCCGCCAATGTGCCCCTTCGCAAAAGTGATAGTGTGAGTCCCAATGGCGAAGATATCTATCTCGTAATCCCCCGATTGCGACATCTTCGACGACGGCGACAACAACGGCAAAGTCCATCGACCACGTTCAGGGTCGCCTCATCTGCAGAAAGGTTCGGACTCGGATTCGGATGAAGAAAACCTTTACGTTTTTAGTTTTACATTTTTTTTGCCAACTACCATTATGTGGGCTAATCATTGTCAAATCCGCTTGTGAATACACATTCGCCTATTAGGGGGATCTGAACGGGTTTTGAAAACGATTTAAATAATTTTGAAAATTTCACGTGACGGGTACTTAACTAATCAATAATTTTAAAATTCCCTTGAAATTGGTATTTTCGTTGGTATTTAAAAAGTAATAGAAGAATTACGATATATTAGTGCTTTTTTGAAATGATCATCAATATTATATATCATACATTTTTTAGTCAATCTCTACTTAATATTTGATTAGACAATTTATAAAATGCTTTGGGAACTTGTAGGTTTACCCAAAAAATCGATATGAACGTAGATCGATTTTACATTATTTAAGATCAATTTTAATTTGATATGCGGCCAGGAAAATTGGACCTGGTCGAAAAGAGTATTTTATGTAAAAACGATATGGGTTTTGCATGACCTGAAATTTACATGGCCATATCAATTGTTACGTGAACATGTTTTTTAATGTCTAGAAAGCCTTTACTTTTAGACATTCAGTAATTATAAAGGAATTTGTATCAAAAAGATCGATCATTCAGCTTCTGGAATTGAGAAAGCAGAAAATCTCAAGCAAATCAAATGATCTATGCTTTGTTCTAGTGGGTACAGCAATTAGGTAACGATTCATCGCCTCGATCATCAATCACAAGGCCAGAAAAACCGACGTTTTGGCCACCGCCCCAGCCTGCTAATGAGCCGTGCATGTGGACACCGAGGCCCCCAGAGCACAGATATCAACAGAAACTATAAAATATAGATCAATCTTGGCCGAAACTGTAGGGCTTCTGCATGAGAAGTCGTGTCAGTGCCTGACACTCATTTGTAGTCATCAAGTGAACCGAGTCAAGTCGAGGGAGCAGAATCAAGTCGCTGGCCCGAGGCGCTGGCAAATCAATTTTTCAGCTTAGCCGCCCCTCGCCCTTATCCCGTTCCCCTCATGACATGGTGCACTGAAAAAAATATAATATATAGATATATATTTTGTTCCCTTAAGTTATGCCTCTCACACAGAAACATCCTTTAACTGAACACTGAAAGTCAAAAGTAAACAATTTCCCTTTTTTGAATATAATATTGTATATTCTTGTACCCTTCCTATATCAATCTTAAACCAGGAAACTAGTGAAAATATATGACCTTTTTTAACTTCTGTAATCACAGAAAGGAGTGATATAACCCTGATCTTAACTTAAATAATTTTGTATGCTAATCCCAGCATTTGAATTGTCCTAATCTAACTCAAATAAGATTTTATGCTTATCCTTGCTTTGAATTGTTCTATTCTGATCTAATTTTCCAACATATAATTAATGTAAAAATCTATCAAAAACGATACTGGTCATAATCTGGTTTTCTGTAAATCTCATTCCTTCACGATTAGTTTGTAGCCCTTTTTTCCAGTGTATATAAGTTAATTCTAGCCAGTTACTCTTGGGCTTGCGTTTCGCTCTCAGTCCGTCCCGCTCGCTCCGTTCGAGACTTCATTCAGTTAACTGTATAGTTTGTAGTTGACGATTTTACCGCTAAGGTTCGTGATACGGTAAAAATATGAGGAGACGAGCAGAAGAACGGCGGTGGTGTTGGTGGTGTTGCTGCTGTGCCGCAACAGCAGTAAAGCGAATATGCCGAGGCAGGGAGAATCGCAAAAACAGCTAACAGAACCTAATGATAAAGAACACCATCTAGACTTGGCCAAAAGCTAGTCAGCCTAGCAGCGGCTTATTTAGTATGTCAAAACATGTTTTTGTTGCTGTTGGAGTTGCTGCTGTTTGTTGACTATGGAAAGTGGGACACATGCCCGTAGCTGTTGGTGTTGCCGCTGTTGCTTCTGTTGTTGTTGCTGCTGCTGCAGCCACACATAGGTGAATAGCCAATAAATCGAGGCTTGTAAATTGAAATTCTTTTTAGCATGGGGTGTGTACGCTGTACTCTGTACACAGTACACCTGTTGTTGCAGTTGCTGTTGCTATTGCTCTTGGTGGCTTGGTGTTGCTGCTGTCGCTGATGTGTTGCTGATGTGTCAGCCTGTTAATTGCCGCTGTCGCTGGATGCTTGCGCAATGAGCGAGCGCTCATTTGCATAGCTTGGATTCTTTCGGGTGGGGGAGGGGCTCTGGGGATATGAGTGCGATTATCTGAGCCATCGCTGATCGTCGGTGGTCGCTCTGGGTGAGTGCTCACTGTGGTTAGCCGACTGTTGTTCTTCTGCCGTTGCAACAAGTGGAATTCTCGAAGCAAACGTCACTTGCTGAATTTAATGGGGTGTGAACCCATCATTCGAGGAATCCTTGACTTAAGATCTTTCAAATATTTGCCACAATCACTCATGACAGGTAATGGACATTCTTGAATGAGTGCTAAATGTAAAATCACATGAAACAACTAAGTGATGTGTAAAACATGGCTTATACATATGTAGCAAGACATATTCTGAACTTTTTGTTAAATGATATATCCTCTGTAAGTATTTAATTATATTATATTTGTTACCCTCAATAATATGCAATAATAATGCATTATTTTGTAATGTTTTTTTTTCATTTTTAAGTCCTTAAATTGTATCTTAAATATTCAATGGTTAACCAGTCTTACGAAGGTCATTTAAATATTGGCGTTACAACCTAATATACAAGTCAGTGATTAGCCCACGAACACAGGAAAAATAAGTGCTACGATCAACTTGATGTTACACCTATTATTCTTACCATTGAATAATGTAAAAAGGTATTTGAAATTGTTTTAAACAACTTAAAAATGACACGAAAATTAGTTGAAATCAGTATAAATTCTTTTTTATCAGTTTACAACAAATTGTTGTAATCCTAATGGTTGAATAGTTTCTTAAAAAGATTTCAATAGAAATTACCTGTCATGGCGCCGTTGCTGCTGCTGCTGTGTTCTCTGCTGTTGTCCCTGCCCGAGGTTGCTGCTGTTGCGCCGGCCGATGTCGCCGATGTTGCTGATGTGGCTGTCGATGTTGCAGCGGGCTTCTGGGCGGCCAACGGCGGAGGAGTTCGCTCCTTGGACCGCTTCAGGTTGCCCTCCTGACTGGCGTTGCTGGCCATGGTTTTGCACACGGAGCTGATATTGCTGATGCTGCTGAAGCTGCTGAGGCTGCTGAAGCTGCTGGAACGGGCCAAGGCCGGTGGATCCGAAAGGAATTTCACCTGCTGTTGCTGCTGCTGTTGCTGTGGCCGCGACTGTGTTGGCCTGGTGGTGGCCAATCGCTTGGCTGCCGGTGGCTCTGGCTCAGTCTCTTCCTCGGGCTCGCCCTTGCCCTCCAGCTCGGCCTCCAGATCGTCCTGCATGTCCGGCTGCACCGTGGCTATGATGGTGCCCTCTTCATTGGCCTGCTCGAAGCAGACGTCCAGCAGCGTGGCTCCTCCGCCCGCCTGCAGGCCGGCAATGTCCTTGAGATCTATCCAACTGGCGCCCAGCTTATCGGCGTCACTGAGCGGCAGGCTCAGCACCCGCGTGTCGCCCTCGTCGACGATGTGAAAGGATTGCGTGGGCTCGATCTTGACGATGATCGGCTGGTTGGCCAGGATCTGGGCGGGGGGCGCACTGCCCAGCAAGCTGGCCATGTTCTCCTCCTCCTCGTCGGCGGCCTCCAGTTCGCTGAGCTGCTGCTCGATCTGCAGATAGGTACTAGTGCTGGAGCTTGGAGCCACAGACCCCGCGGACTGGGGCTTCAGCACGTCCAGTTTGAGGACCGTGCATTTGTCGGTCTGCTGGTACTGATGCTGCTGCTGGGGGCGTGGCAGGAGGGCCAGGGCGGGAGCACCGCCCAGGGATCCGGCGCCCTCCGACGAAACGAAGGTTAGCGGGGGAGAGGTGCCCGTGGCTTTGGTGGACATGGACACCACACCGCTCCTCGCCGACGAGTGGACGAGGTGGGGCAGTGGCCCGGAACCAGCACCACCACCTCCGCCGCTTCGGGCCACGATGGTCGTGGAGACGGGCAGCGGGATTATCGAGATGGAGGGCACCTTGCTGCGCAGATTGGCCACCGCCGCTGCCGTGGCGGCATCGGTGCCGATGTACGTGGGTCCGCCGCCCGAGGATTTGCTGCTGCCGCCGGCGGGCTTGGCCTGCTGTATCAGCAGGAGGTCTCTGGGCCTATCCGTTGTGGCGGCCGTTTCTTCACGAAGGATCTCAAATATCCAAGTTTCCCTGGTTTCCTTGGAACACTAAGCACGAAACACTCACACTTTCACTTGGTTGATTGCTTGGTTCTCTCCTCCTCCTCTATTTATTTTTCCCTTTTCCGGGGTGTATAGAAGCACAACATCGAAATAAATTCAAAATCAGCCTTACGAAAGTGCACTTAAAAAATTGTCGACTAAACAAGTTCATTCTTTCTGCATTGCCTCGATTGCTTGTCAATTGGTGTAGATACCCCAGGGGGTGGTGGTTTGATGGGGGGAGGGGCTTTCAGGGGCGTAATAGGGGGTCCACAGATGCACCTGTGCGTTTCGTTTCGTTCGGTTCGTTTTTGGTTCGCTTTGCAGCTGGAAATACGCTTCGTATACTTAACGTAACTTTGTGCGATGCCCAGAGTTTGAGTTTAATGCTTTTTCTTGCTTGTTTTGGTTTCTGAGTACATTTTGGTTAGTCTTTTGTTTAACTTTTGTGTTATTATAATTATATATTATGCAGCAATTGTTGCTGTGTAGCGGTGACTGTGCCTGTTTCTGTATCTGTGTCCTCTGCTTTTGCGTGTGGTCGTTGTCATCCTCGCTTTCGTATCCTGCTGCTGCTGTTGTTGCTGCTGTTGCTGCTGCTGCTGCTGTTGCTGTTGATGTTGCTGCTCCTGCTGCTGCTGCTGCACATGCAACGCGTCGCCGCTGGATGGCTGCAAGGCTGCGCTGCAGCATTCGGTGGTGCCAGCGCCATTGGAACTCGACCACGTCAAAACAGTTGGAAGTGTGCCTCTGGATCTGGATGTGGATGTGGATATATGTGTGGGTGTGGATGTGGCAATGTTGCTGTTGATTTCCCACATTGCGGCACGCAACCCTATGCAACCACCACCTCGGAAGCCACCTCCATCCTTGCAACAACAACAACCACCAGCTGTGTGTGGAAAGTGGCTTTAATAATCGATTTTTCAGCGGCACACTTGCAAATCAATATTTGGCAAACAGGAGCAATGCTGGTAGCTTTCGCTTTTCCACAGGGGAAATTTATCCTTTGAGTTGATTATTTACCGGATACACTATTTAATTCGCTTAACTTGAGCGCGTGTGGGTGATGGGGGTGTATTGTATTTCATTGCTTTTCTCACTGTTTCCATTTGCTATTTTCACTTTTAGAATTTTAGCCCTAAAATGCACCGCGCGCGTTTTTTGTGGCTCCTTTTTGCGATTCGGAGAAGCAGCTGACCGGAGCTGCGTCCTTTACAGGAATGTGTCCCAAATTCGAGTGCCACAAACACAGTTCGTTCTGCCGCTGCACAACTTTCCGTTTCGTGGGGGTTGCGGCTCAGTTTCTGGGAAAATCCGAGTGTGTGTGTGCGTGTGTGTGTATCCGCATGCAAGCTGAAAAATGGGACTCGCTGCGAACTGCTGCGAAAATAGGGTTAGTAGGCATAATGCCAAGTGCATAGCCAGGAAAAACTGGAAGCCACGGCACGAAGGAAAACGAGCACAGGCGAACGTTGTTGCGCAGCTTTTCCACCCCTAAAAATCTTCGCAAGGGGTGGGCACATGAGGGCCAGGGAAATTCCCGTTGTGGTGGAAAAGCGTCACGGGAAATTTCTGCACGCCCGTGGTGGAAATTCCCAGGGCGGCGCTTTTTGAATGAGTCTCGTGTGTTTATTTCTTCGTAATTCATTCTTGAAATATCATGAACTTAGACTCATAATATAAAATGTATAGGTACTGTGCAAGATTATCTAAATCTAAATCTAAATATTTCAATTAAATTAAGAAGTCATTTTTTGTTTTGCCTTTATTTTTTAAAGATTAATAACATTAATAACTAAAAAAACTGTGAGATTAAAGATTATAAATTTTATTAAAGGTAAATTTCCAGTTGCAAACTTCTATTGTAAAAAAATGTAAACATTCAAAAAAAAATAGAGACAAATATTTTCAGTTGCCCATCGATTACCAAATATTTTGATATGTAAAATAAGTAATAATTAGACAAAGATAAGTTTGTTGACTATAAACAAATAATTTCGTTAATATTTTAGAAAATATTATTTAGTACCAGACGTATTTTTGGATAAAATAACATTATACATAATGTAAACGATCGGAGATATTTAAAATCATGCGCGGATCCACGGTTTATGATAAATCACCCCCCACTCGCGTAAAAATTTAAAGGAATTTTGGTGGTATGCAACAAGAAATTGTTCTGACATCATTCCCCACAACAAAATCCTTGATTCGCCATTGTTTGAAATCAATAAACGATTAAATTTACCTAAGTAAAATTAAATTAACAATATTTTAAGTATATATAAACTTTATCAACAAAATTCGAAGTTCGGTAATTAAAGATCCCTGCAGCCAAATGAGCAGTTAATTTCTGTAAAAAGCAATCCAAGAACAGCTATGACCACAATGACCCCCAGTGACTACCCGAAAAAAGGGAGAAGAACTCGGACTCCGGCATTGCCCAACAGAAAAGCCGGGGCAAATTTGGACTAATCGCTTAACTGGGCCCCAGCCTAACAGATCGGATCGCCTCGGATCGGAACCATCATTAGCAGAGGGGAGGCGATCAAGGGCCCACTTTATAGGGAGGAGGGGGGCCGGGGCCCGATGGAGGCGAACCACCAGGCGACCACCGTTACGGTGGATTCGGAGCCAAGAGTCAACCATCGGCATTAATATTTCATGTTTTTCCGTTGCTTAAATCATGTTAGATTTATTTTGCGCTGCTTTCAGCTGCCGCTTGCGCAACAACAATCAAGAGCTAACTGGTTACTGGTTCTGCCAGCGACTTGCAGCTAAACTTGGCTAAAACACCGTTGGTTCTAACGTGAACGCGAAAATGTGTGCCTCACCGTTGTAAACTTCTTGCGGCGGCTGTGTGTTGCCTCATCTATTGCAAGTCTGTGCCGATTCTAACCTGTTTTCTGCAGAAACTCTCCGAAAAAGTCCCGTAAGAAAGTCCCAGTTATTCAAGAGGAAAAACCTGTTACACGCAACTGGCTCAGAGAGCTGATTGCCAAGAAAATAAAAAAATAAAGAAAAGAACAGAAAGAACTAAACAGAAAAGAACAGAGCAAAGAACCAAGCCAAACCGAGCATATAGCCACAATAGCAGCAGAAACAGCAAACACGTTAGTACCGTTGCTTCGGATTCTTTGTTGCGCAACTGTGTTGCAAGATTAGCTGCGACTTCCAACTGGTTTATTGCAGCCCCACTGTCGATGAGGCAACAGTTGGCTTGGCCATTACTGTTGTTCTGCCGCCACGGCTGCCTCTGCTGCTGCTACCTTGAAGATGTGGTAAAATCTTTTGGCTAGAATCGGAAATCCAGCAGCAAGACGGCATTGCATGTCTTGCAGCTTGACTGCATATCCCATCCATTTATTTGCGGCTATTGAAAGCCGTTGCCTTTTATAATCAATTAGGTTTTTTTTAGCCAGCCTAATGATTCCATTAGTCGGTTATAGCCAGGCAAGGCTGATGGCTGAGGCGAAATATCACCAGAGCTATTTTGATTGCCGGAGAAACTTTGTTTTCACATTACAAAATTAAGTGGTAATTTTCCAAAGCCTTCAAAAAATTGTTTTTATTGAAGCAATTTTAAAATAAATTTGGCAAAAAATAAGTTGAAGATATCATACCTTAGATCTTTATTTTCTAACGGATCATTTTTCTATACATTCATTTTTCTATACTAAAGTAAATTTTTTATAAAATAAATAAATAAACGACTATTTAATACCCTTTATTCCCAACGACAAATAAACCCACTTCTAAAGTCTGCGTTAATTTACATAATATTATTTCGGTTTGCCCATTTGATTTTGCGTTCTTCTTAATCTTAACTAACCATAGTCTTAGGTATAGACCCCCTATTCTCACTAACCTCTGATGGTGCTCGGCATGTTATCCGGGTTCTTGAATCTCATCAATGGATATGGACTTTCATTCATACACTCAAACTAATCTGATCAATGTCAAGGCGATAAACTCATCACTCGACCAGATCATGATCGTAAAATTCGCGAATTAGTTCGAGTCGCAGAGATGGGATCGTATCAAACAGTTTTCAAACGGTGAAATCGGCCGGCGAAGGCGATGATGAAGCCGGCGGAGTGGAACGGATCAGGAAGGAGAGCGAGCGTAATCGGGACTGGAAGCGATCCGATGACCGATGAGAGAGCCCAGAATCCGAGTGGACTGGACTGGACGTGGGGACAAACGATTGCACACTAAATGGCCAGAGACCGAGTCGAAGACCCGTTGCATCCGATGATCATGATCGCGGTCATCATCATCATGGGTTCCTCTTCATCGGCGCTGGAATCCGAATCATCGTCCTCTGGCGGGAACCTGTGTGCGGAGGCGAGCGGAGAAACAAGCAGAAACCGAAAAAGAAACAGAAGCAGAAGCTCAGCCGAGAAAGGAGCTGCCAGAAGTTCCCACCTCAACACACGCGTTTACCAACACACCTGCAAAAGGGGGCGCTCACCACAATTCCTGCTAATTAAATGCGTGATCACTGCCCAAAAATATCCACGCAGCAACCAAAAAGATACAGTGATCACTGCCCAAAAATATCCACGCAGCAACCAAAAAGATACAGTCTCACCTTCCTAAATGGGATTCTATATATTAGCGATAGCGTACAGAGATGATTTCATGGTTTTTCAGGGTTGCTAAAATTTGACCCAGACCTGCAATGTTTCGCCCGTCGCTTCTTTCCTTACAGCGTAAATATTAATTACATACATTTCTAGTTCTCATTAAAATATAAGATTAAGAACTAAAAATAGGCCTAAGGCTCAATACCCATTCAAGTATAAGGCTTAGTACTCAACCCAACAAAAAGTCGTCCAAAACAAAAAACTTCATATGAAAAACAACGTCAAAAAATTTTGTTTCATATGAAGTTTTTGTATTGGACGACTTTTTGTTGGGTTGAGTACTAAGCCTAAGAATCAAAAATAGTTTATTAAACAGCTTAATAAATATTTTAATGCAAGGAAAAAGAGACTTGGTTCCTAACAATAAAATCGAAATATGAGTTTGATTTACGGAAGTTGGCCTGTATCGACTGGTAACAGATACACATGCCAGCGGAGTCATGCGTGCATTTCATCAGAGATGGGTTATGATGTCCAAAAGTCCGAAAGCCCCACTGTTATTCCGAGTGATACATGTAGGGCTGGAAAGAGTCAGGGACCCGAAACCCGTGACGTTACTCTCCGAGTATCTGTGTATCTTTGGGGCCCGTCATCGGATCGCAGTTCGCTCAGTTGCACCTTTAATCGCTGAGCAAACAGGAAGACTTCTACGGTAAACACACACACACACGCCCCGTGGAGAGCGGGAGAGAGCAGTGGAGAGGGGGAAAACAGGTTGAGAAGTACCGCTAAGCGGAGGCCCCAACTCTCCGAGGTCAACGAACGTTCTTAGCGCTCAAGAATGAAGGAATCAAAACACACGAAAAAACCCAGAGAGAGAGCGACCGAGCTCGAGCGGAGGAGCGAGTAAAGAAAGCACGAAGAGAGAAAGCAAGGCGATCGTTTTAAGAGCGCAACAGGTAAGCGCTGCAGCCAAAGAGAGGCCAAGCTAAACACAAAGAGAAATGAGACAGTATCTGTATCTTTTATTGTCTTTTTGTATGCACATGCACTTTTGAAACGAATTTATCTGTTGCTTACAGCTAAATTAAAAAGCTTACAAAAAGTGTATTTTTAGCAGCAGATTTACAAAGAACGAAAAAAGAGAGAGGGAGCGGAACAAAAGCCGCTTTGTAACTGTCTGTCTCATGACCAAAAGAAACCGAAATTCTTATTCTTATTGCTCAATATTTGGTAATACACACTCACGGATACGAAAACAGATATAGATACAACTACAGATACATATTCATTCGACGTGCAAAAGCCATTCAATGTAGCGGTATTTTGTCGAAATTTTCAGAGTCTCGAGACGAGTACAAAGCTCATTGACCTCATGCTCTCTCTCTCTCTCTCTTTCTTTCATTCCTTCTTTCTTCTATCTTCTGCCACATTCCCTTGTAACAAGTGTGTAATGAGACGGGAATGAGGGGCTTTGATTTTTTTTTGGGCGTTTCAAAACGGGCTTTCAGCTAACACAAGCTCCGAACATTTTCGTTTATTTTTATTTCTTCCTGTGCGACTCTTGATATTCTTCGTTTTCCCTGGGGAATTTCGCTTTAATCTGACCAGATGGGGTATTTATCAGTAAGCCCCCAAGCGAATTACTTAGGAAGTGAGGGAGGAATTTAGCTGACAGCCTGTTGATCCCGTTTGTGTTTGCTGGCCCACGATTGGTCAGTGGATTTGTTTCCCTACCAA